GCAGCTCTCAAGACACCTGTACCTGGTAGTTGGTGCTCTTGGTTGTTTGGTTCAGGGGTGAGGCCGGTCTAGGGGAAGCCAAAAGACTGGATTGAGAGATACTGGTTAGGTGAAGTTGAATGGTTGCGTGTAGGAAAGTATTTATTTGGGCTGACTTTATAGTGCCACAAGACTATGATTCTTGTAGTCTGATTGTTTTATTGATTCTTGTTTTGTTTTTCCAGTGTCTGACAAGCATCAGTTCAAGAATGAGCAGGTCCTGTATCGTTTCCGCTATGACGATGGAACATACAAGGCCAGGAGCGAGATGGAGGACATAATGTCAAAGGTATTTGTACCAACACGTAGAACCACCGATTCCATTTCCATTCATGTATAACTACAGAGATGAGCCAATCACAAGCAGGCAGTGCTTCTGAGTGGGAAGTGATTGGCTGTTCTGGAATAGGCTGAAGTGTTTGGAATTTACATGATTGCAAAGCTTAATTTTTTTTAAAGCTTTTGAAGGAAGTTCTGCTCTTGGTGATCTCCAGCTTCCTTTGTTTTAATTGGCACTCTTGTAAAATAACCCTGTATATTTATTATAATTATTTTCAATTGGAATTGTCAATTGTGAGCATGTGCCAGAGTGTGACTAACAATACCATCATTTCCGCAGGGCGTCAGGCTCTACTGTCGGCTCCACAGCCTTTTTGCGCCCGTCGTCAAGTGAGTGCCCTCTCGCTCATCCATCACCAATGGGCGTGGCCCTAACCTGCCACTGGGCCGGGAAACTCGTTTGAGCTCATGGCTATCATGGCCGCCTCAATCCACAATTCTCCGTGGCCGTGTTCCTCAGTGTGGTACAGATCCTCTGACCTGGGACGCTCTGAATTCCCTCTGGGTAATGGGTTAAACCGAGACAACCTGGGCAGTTTTATTACCCCGGGCTTCAAATGGTGATTTCATCGATCCTAATCCTGTTCCGCACGGTGTGTCGTTACCTCCGCCCTCCCAATTCCCAGGCCCAGATTGATACATTAGGATCAGCCATCACTGCATCCTCGGCTGTTTCTGACGGAAATTAAAAAAGGACTTTCATTTGGCCGAATAAAATTACACTGCCTCTAAACTTTAAACTTGCCGTTTCGGTGAGATGCGTATTTTGGAGGTGTGTCATACGGCCGTGAGCAAACACCTGTGCTACACTTTCAAGAAGAGCCTCCGCCCAAAGCTGAGGATTGTGGCGGTCCTACGGATGCATCAGAATCTCGGGCTGAACAGTTTTGTCAGGCATTGTCACTGTTTCCTTGCAGCTGAATGGATTTTAAAAAGATAATCAGATAAAGGAGGGTGTGATGCAATTGTAAAAGGAAATTGTGACCCCGCCACCCCCCAAATCCTCTGGATCGTTCTATTACAGATTTTACAAAGTAGCTCAAGTGCTATTTTAAACCCCCAAACCAGACTGTTTTCTTAGAACTCCCTGCAGTGCTCTTAAAGGTACAGAGGCGGCCTCCCTGCTTTTCACAGTGGTGGCCAAGACCACACCATCGATGACAGAATGTTGGAACAGATGTTCTGACTGATACGCTAGTTATCCGCGAGTGCTGCTCAGTCTGCGCCATTCAGCTTGTTTGTATTCACCCGACCCGTTCCTGTTATGAGTAGCAGGCCCATGTTCATCCTTCATTAAGGATGCTTGTGCTGTGACACTGTAAATAATATGTTTGGCTTCACCAGCATCAGCAAAACAACCCATTTCTAGTGTGTTCAGACCCCAGTGTTTAAAATTTTTCGGTGACTTATTACAAAGCCTTATCAGCTGTCAAAATAAAGTCTGCAGCCTTGTTTACCATCATGATAAACACCGATCTTGGACAATGCCCTAGGTGCAAATGTGACTTGCCAACACAAATCTTACTTTAGAGAAGCGCTTTTATTTGAAATTTCGTTTTTTAAAAAGTTTATCTTCCACGCAGGGCAGTCTGTGTATGTCTCCTAGAATGTTTTCTTAAGCATTTTCGCTACCCTTTCGGTTTTGATGATGTTCTCTCCTTCAGGGACAGAGATTATCACCTGAAAACGTTCAAATCGGTGATTCCGGCGAGCAAGCTTGTGGACTGGCTGCTGTCACAGGTACGGCTTAATCGTCTGCTTCCTTCTGATAAAAATAAGTCATTTTTGGTTTAAGGGGCATCCTCAATTTCCCACAAGAGTGCCGGACGTTTAATTATCAATGGGATGTCTTGGGTTTATTCAGGAAAACTCTGTAGTTCCGCGGCGCGTCTTTGAAATTGAAATCCAGCATGAGGCTGGGAGTCTGGCTGTGTTTTCGCGAATAGAGGTTACAGTCCAGCTGGGAGAGTTGCTGAGATGGGGTGGGTCAGGTTCCCCGCGGCCTGTTGTCAACGGGTTCCTTACCAAGTGCAAACAAGGCCTGACTGCCCCCCCCTTATGGACGCACGCCACTCTGGCACGGTCCATAGGACCTCTCCTCCAGATGCTTGGCCCAGTTCCCAAGCAGTGCTGCATTTTCACCAGAAGGTGGACGGGATGTGATCATGGTCCCCAGTCGCTGCCGCCCGGAGCCATTCGAACCCAAGTTCGAACCTTGGAGTCTCTGCGCCCTCATTGGTCAGGTCGTGCGTGTGGCGCTTCCTCCGTTTGTCTTCAGGTCGTTAAACGATGCAGTGGAATAAGGGGGTCCTTCTCGTTCCCAGGTTTGCATGTGTTGATTTTATGATGTCCCCTCGGGCGTATGGAGGCAGACAGAGGATGTCCTTTAAAGAAAAAAGACTGGGATGATTGTCGTGGGGTGAGTGCTGGCAGGCTGTGTCACATGACTCGTTTATGACCGCGTGCCTCTGTTTCTCCTCCAGGGTGACTGCTCTTCGCGGGAGGATGCCGTCATGCTAGGCGTGGGACTCTGCAACAGTGGTTTCATGCACCATGGTCAGTCCTGCTCCAGGGGCAACATGCTCTGGAAACCTGTGTGCTTTGGGATTTAATAAGGATCTTCTGATTTTGTTTCTGGCAACACATTGTCAGGTTTTCTATATGAAACACACCATCACTAACTTCTTCAGCAGGGTTGCATTGTGACTCTTGAGAGCATTAAGCCCTTTAGTCACACCAGTGGGATTTGGGGTTTGAATCCCACATATACTGTGTGTTTGTGTGGTCAGTGTGTAGGTGTGGCCTGCAATGGCCTGGTGTCCCATCCAGGTGTGCATTTATATCCTGGGGTTCCTGGAATAGGTCCCAAACTCACCATGATCCTGTACTGGAGAAGAGTTTAGAAGATGGTTGGCAGGCCTACAACATTTCACGTTCATCTCACTTGCGTAGTATACAGTATCTTATATAGTTTTTATTAATCGTTCTTAAAATGAAGCTGTTTCTGACACATCTGGCTGTCTCTGCAGCCACTTACATGTGGTCCAGCAAGCCTGCCCATCCTTCCAAACCCGGCTGGCTTGCACGGACCCACGGGCCGGAGGCCGCCGGGGGACACCCTGCAGGTTAAGTGTGCCTCTTTGGATGCCGGCCAGCCAGCGGTTCCTGTGAACTCGGCTCTCGCGACTCCTCCGGCGGGCTTCGTAAATCCATCCCCCGCGGCCACCGACCTGCCTCATTTGGAGCCCCTTATGCACGGCAGCCCAAACCGCTTCTCCCGTACCTGACTGGATCTGATCCCCGTGGTCGACTTTAAGTGGCAGACTTACTTAGGGGACCTGTTGTTTTATTCCATACGTGCATTTTCCTGACAGCCTTAATCAAAGGGGCCTGCATTCCCATAACGCCAAGGAAGGGCAAGTACTGAAAAACAAACAGCCTGCAAGTGTGAAAGCTTTTCAAAGGGTATGAGGCATTACTCCCTCATTGCCCAGGGGGAGGTGCTGTAGTCAGGTTTCCGCAAATAAACAAGCGAGAAGCAGTCTTGCCTGGTAGCAGGACCCCGGGCCCGGTGTAGCACGGGAGGGGGGCTGGCGGGGTCATTTCGTGGCAGCGGGGGGGTGCTCCCTGAGGCGTCTGCTTTCTACACTCGGAACCTTCAGAGATGTTTTTATTGGATCTGCTTTTGAGGCCCGAACACAGGAACAGTCTGTGCTTCCAGAACGTCTCTGAAAACACATGGAAATAGGAAATAACACAAATGTCTCGTCTTCAAAAGAGGAACAGTGTTTACAGTTTTGAGGTCATACAGGATTACGTTGCTTTTCCCCCGTTCTGTCTAGTTTATGCTAAACAGTTTTATCGTTTCACCATGATTTTGCCCTGCGTTTCCCTTGTTTTTACCTTGATTTATAATGCACTAAAGCATTTGGCATGTTTTTTTTTAATAATGTGTTCTCAGTGCATCAGCAATTTTTTTTTTTTTTACTTTGCCGGCACATTTAAATAATTGATTTTCGGAGGTATATTTGCCTGGAAAACGGGGTCGACCGTGGAGTCACTTGTCCTCCTGAAGGCGCAAAGTCTCTGACACGCTGACCCTTCCGCCCTCAGTGCTGGAGAAGAGCGAGTTCAAGGACGAGTCGCAGTTCTTCCGCTTCTACGCCGACGAGGAGATGGAGGGCACAGGCTCTAAGAACAAACAGCTGCGCAATGACTTCAAGCTGATCGAGAACATCCTGGCGAAGTCTGTGCAGGTGAGTCTCTGCTTATCTCCGTGCACTCGGATCCGTGCCCCGTGTAACTGCCATTGTTATGCCTTATAGCTCATGCCCGTTTGTGCCCTCAAGCTCCACCCCCCAGCCCCCACCTTTCCCCCACTAGCTAATAATTCTAGCGTATGTTCCAACTATCCCAGATGACTTTACTTGGCTGTGCAGCAAGGTCATTTTTAGGCGCAGTAACAAAGGCAGGAAGCAATAACATTAACAGTGAATGGACAGATGAATGAGCCCTTTCATATTTTATTGTTTGTTAACCTGCTGCTCTGGAACAGCAAAGATGGCGGAGCCCCCATAATAGTATCAGTTAATTTTGTGTCTAAGTTTCTCTAAAATGGGTACGTGTTGGCTGGACGAGAAATTTTTGGACACTTTCAATAAGGAAATTTAGTAGATAAATACCAGCTTGAGGTGATGCTCCTTAGGAGATCCTTTGACTGGATGAGTGAGATCATTCAGACCAGGGATCTCTGCCCTGTGAAACACGTGTGGATCTCGGCACGTGTGAACTTTCCAGAACAAGTGTTTTTCCATGTGAAGTGATATTTTATTTTTTTTGCATGGCATGTTACAACAGTCTCCCTGAAGCTGTGTTTAAACACAGTTAGGCTTTTTTGTTTTAAATGACAGGCAATTATCATTTGTTCCTCCAAAGCAGATCCGCAGGGACCAGTATCTATGCAAAATCTACCTGTAGACACGTGGGCTAGTGACAGCAATCCTGTTGGTGGCCTCGTCTTATTTCTCAGTGACTATTCTCTGTTAAAGTTGCGTCACTCAGAACTTTAAAGGAAGATTCCAGCTGTGTCCAAGGAACCAAGTACCAACAGAAAAGACGTGTTCTTTGAGAGAGTACCTGGTGAGCTTGCAGTTGGGGGTCCTGGGGTTTTTCTGGATGACCTAATCAGACCATCCCTAATCTGGACTGGCAGGACCATGACTGGCCAAGGCTGCTCAGTCCCCAGAACCAAAGGACACACAGTAACCGAGGATCTATAGCCAGCTCCGCTCAAACCATCTGCTTTTGCTTTCGGTTATGTTTATGCACGTGCCAAGTAGTAGAACATTCCGGGCCGTCCCGTCTTTGACCCGCCGGGTTTCTGCTGCGGGAGCCCGCTCCGGTCATCCCGTCCCGGCGAAGCTGACGCAATGCTGCTGAATCGGCCATTTCCCCCTGTCTGTCTTTGTTATGTGTCTCTCATTATAACCGTATCCTGTTTACAGCTCTGTACCGTCGTGCAGCAGACATGGTCCCCTTTCTCGCCTCCAGACATCAGCATGTTATTTCACCCCCCCAGCCCTCACAAAGCGGATTAAGCCCCATCTTCCTCAGCAGAGCACTTTTCAGAGCCCCCCTTTTATTAAATTGCCCGGCCCAGCATGCTGCGAGGCTCCAGATCTGTGTTTGTGATCGCGGAGAAGGGGTGCGCGTACGCAGGCAGCCATCTTGGGGCCACCCTGGCCAATGAGCTTAAAAAAGAGCATAATTAGAGGTCGCGGTCAGCAGAGAAAAGAACGTCGGGGATGTCAGCTGGCTGGGGTATGAAATGGAGGCGTCTGTCAAGCCGGAATCCCCCGTGAGGAACAAAACGTGTTTTATACCCCATCAAAGACGATACAGCCCAGAAGCGTCTCGCTAATCTTATTCTTTGTATTGGGACGGCTAATCCTCTAACATTTTAGATTAAATAAAAGGAGGGTATCGCCTCTGAACAAAGCAGCGGCGCTTTATGCATTCCCCTTTTCACGTTAATGCTTTGTACAGAAAACCAGCGTAAGTGCATGAAATGGAACTGATTTTCGGAATTAGCAGCTTTTAGCGCTTTCAGGGAAGCGGACCTCAGGTCGCGCTTGGACTTGATTGACAGGAAGGCTTTTTTTTTTTTTCCTGGTTGCTTTTGTCTTCGTTTAATCCTGTGGTGACATGTATTTCCAGTAATAGCCAAGTCATTAGAAAGCGTTTAATGCTCTTTTGGTGCGTAATTGCACTGACCTTTGGAAGTAGCCTTTCGCACTCTGGTAAAAGCTGCGTGTATTTTATCGAATGAAGCCGTCATCGTGAAAAGATAGGGCTTAGCACGGACTTTATCAGCTGCATTTAGCTTGCGTGTTGAGCCCTTCCTGACACCGGTTCGAAAAGCCAACCCCCCCCCCCCCATCTGGAAGCATTGCTGGGCCAAGAATGTCCATGGTGCATATGTGGTAATGAAGGACAGTCATGGTTTGACCGAAGTCCACAGAAGAACAGTGAGTTCCCAAAGAGAGGGGCTTTAACGTGATAAGCAGATGCACCCGTGACTGACTGATCTTTCTTTCAGGGGGCGGTTGTGTATCTGTCTGTCTATCTCTCTGTGTCTGTAGGCATCTGTTTGTATTTGTGTGCGTGTGTCTGTCTGTCTGTCGATCTGTGTCTGCGTTTTTTTTATGTGTGTATGTGTCCATGTCTGTGTGTATGCTTGTCTGTCTGTCTAACTGTGTGTCTCCCTGTCTGCAAGTGTCTGTGTTTGTATTTTTCTGTCTGTCTTTCTGTTGCTGTGGGGGCAGGGGGCTCACCACTCATAGTATTTGAGACCCCAGCTTTTAAAGCGTTTCAGAATGTCCGACGTTAAGTGTGTCTCTCTCCACATCTGCCGTGCTTGTTTGACATGAAGAACACGATCTGGAAGCAAGTGGGCGGACGTGCATGCGGTTCCCACCGCCCCCGTCCGCACCCTGCAGACCCCGCGTGTGTCTGCGCTATGTGAGGGCGAGCTGCCCCCCCACCTGTTTCCCGTGGCTCTGGGGTCACTCTCCCCAGTGGTTTCATTTCTGTGTGTGCATGCAACAGAAACCCGAACCTCTTGCTCCCTCGCCCCGCTGGAATGTTGGCGATGTATAAGAACTGATGTTTTCCTGCAGGTGTCTTAAGAATCGGAGGAAAGGTCGAGACAAAAGGCACCGGCTTGTGCGAGAAAGGGGCCCCCCAAGCAGAGCCATTGCAAGCGCCAAATTAAGCCGACAGGAAATGGGTATTGTTTAGAGCCAAAACCCTGAGGCCCTCCATCCGCTACCCATCGATTACCAGCAACCGAGCCGCTCTGCTTATTATTTCCACTCTTGCTATGGTATTGACAGTTAAGTTGGAATGTGGAGTGCTTTAACCCGGCAATAGGAATTAGATGGCTTATCTGAGGAGGGCAGGGAAATGTAGAGCAGTGTTTCACAACCCAGTCCTTGGGGACCCACACATAGTCCAGGAGGGAGCAAAATTGTGGGTTGTCTGGGGGTTGGGGGGTCCCAGCAGACTGGGCTGAGTTTGAATCACAGTCGGGTTGCCCAAACCCCTCCAAGGGAGAAAGTCATGCCAAGAGGACCATCGGATGCTCTCTGTAGGACTCCTGAGCTGACATCTTTGACAAATGAGCGTCAAAATGAGCTGTCACCTGGACTCATGGAGACGAATCACCTTTAAATCTGTGCCCGTCGGTCCGGTCTCCCCAAGAGCGGCCTGTGTGGGCAGGGCTACTCTAACGAATGACTTTCATTCTCAGATCCACCCCCAGGAGGATGACTACGGCTTCGAGATCGAGGAGAAGAACAAGGCCGTCGTGGTCAAGTCGGTCACCAGGGGCTCCAGCGCCGAGGTGAGAGTCGGGAGAATTGGTTACCCATTTAATCGGCATCCTCCCCATTCTTCCCCTTTCACTCGTCCTCTTCTTGGGTGGTTCCTAAGGCTTCGGGCTGTCGGATAATGACGGTGGTGCGCGGTGAAAGCCGGCGTCGGAGCTGAAGGTGACGTTTCCCTACCGCTCAGCGCTCTCAGCCTTTGTGGGCGACGCTTGGCTCTCGAGAGGCCCGATGCCCGATAAGGCCATCAAAGGGCGGGCTTTTGTTAGTTTATTCCAGGCAGGCTCTCATCTCTGCCTGCTTTTCATCACCGCCAGATTCCCCCCGGCAGTTAGGCTTGCCTCATCAGGCCCTCATTAACACCATGTAGCGCATTGGTCCCGGTCTTGGTCCCAGTCCCGCTGTAGTGCGGCGGCGAAGGGGACATCCTTGCAGGTGACTCCGACCGGGATGGACCCTGGCCCTTTAAACCCAGACTGGCCGCTGAATCGGAGCTCTGGCTTAAAGGACGTGGAAACCGGAATACTAAACACCCCCGTCAGAAAGCAAGGACTTGTTCCCCGGGGGCGTCCTTTTGGGGCTGGCTGAAACGACCCAAAGGAGCGACAGATAAGCATGAAAGGAACTCAAGCCCAGAGAGCGGATGAAGGGGAACAGAGCAGCCATTATCCGTCAGGTGTCTTCAGTGTCCCCAATATGTCAGGGCCTTTGTCTTGTCTGCCTTGCTCCTGCCACAACAGTGAGGCCTCTGGGAAAGGAGGGGGTCTCTCTGCGCTCTGCAGCCGTAAACAGGCCTGTAAAATAATCAAATTACCAGAACTGTATTTTTACGTGGACCGTTTTCTGCTGGCACCCGGGACCAGGCCAGGCCCACACTCTATACCCCGACAGAGAGCTGCCCTTCAAGCCCCCCCCCCCAGTAGTGACGCTTTCATATGTGGAGGCTAATCACAGATATGCCTCCCCCAGTGGACGAGCCATGTAGTTAAATATGAGGAGATGCTGGCCCTGCATTATTAATGCCCCCGTCGTCACGAGTTTCCCTGGAGCCGGATGATAAAACGGAATTTTGTTCACAACATACTCTCCTGAGCTGCGTGAACTATAAATCAAAGTCAGGTCTATATAGGGAGGGCTTGTGCGTGCGTGCGTGTGTTTCCGTTTTTTTTCCCATTTGGTGTGAGATTATTGCTGAGAGACAGAGAAATGTCATTATTTCTTGCTGGCCCTGGGTATTAGGGGATTCTGTAGTAGATCAGTCCTTTGGGGAAGGTGGGAGGGGCTCTGGCTAAATGAACGAAGACATCTCTTCTGGGGTACTTGGTCGCTAATGAAGGCGCGCACACAGCCGAACACAAGCTAACTCGCTGGTAAAGGCAAAGGTACACACACACGTGGACACACACACAAACACGCTCTTTGTTCATCCGCTTGTGAGCACACACAGTCACTTGTTCCATTTCCCTCTCATGCATAATTACAGACACACACACAAAATGGTGTTATGTGTGACGGCCCCATCTGATAAAGTCTCAGATGAATGCGGGCGGATGTGCTGGGGCTCATTGTCAGAAAGGGCCTGCCGCTGGCTGTTGGTAGATTGCCCCAGTCCATGTTGCTGTCTGCAGGATGACCCCTGCTTCCATTCACACTGGGGCTGGGTGGTCACTGTCCTGCTCGCGGTTACTTGGCTATTCTGGGGTTTTTCCCGCTCAGGCACTAAACTGCCGTTACAAGAGACCTCTGCCGCTTGAGGGTAACACGATAGCTAAGGTTCAAAGCCAGGATCCCCTCCCCCGCAGTTATAAATTGTTTCAGCGGTGCGCCCTGGATTGCCGCCCAAAATAATTTACTTCCAGCTATTCAACCAGTATGCTTTCATGTATGTGAGCTCATGCGTGCGTGAGCCGGTGATTTATGCCTTATCATGGCTGTATTCCGATAGTCCGCGGTCTGTTCGATGCTCCGATTTCCAGTCTTTTTCTGCTGTGCCTCCCCACAGATGGCTGGACTGCAGGTTGGTAGGAAGATCTACTCCATCAACGAGGATCTGGTGTTCCTCAGGCCAATCGCAGAGGTGGAGACCATGATCAGTCAGGCGTTCGGGATCCGGCGCTCTCTGCGGCTGCTGGTGGCCACCAAAGCTAAAGAGTGAGTGGGACGGGTCACACTGCTAGCGAAAGCCCAGGCCACACTCTGGCCATGTCTCCACCCCTTGACGTCACCCTATGTCACTGGTAATTTCAATGATGCTGGTGCATCTCTTGCTGCTCCAGAGCAGGGAAGTGCAGCAGCCCAAGTCGTGATGCGCTGCTTCTTACAAATTTTGCCTTCCACTGAAAGCTAGTTTCCACAGTTTTCAAATGTGACGTGATCTTCAGTGCAAAATACATGTGGTTAGCTTGCATATTCTTTCATTCATACGCAAAGTTAACCACAACTGTCCTCAAATTGTCCTACACTGTGAAGGTAGTATAAGTTTTAATTGTGTTAACCGCTGTTAACACTGTTTCAAATGCATGTCTGTGACTGACGTCATCGGGGAGAATCAAGCGTTTAGTCATGTAATCATCATGGTTTGGGTTTGTGGTTCTGATGGTATTTTTATCTTGCTGTTGACATTCGGGTTGCCTCTCTTCCAGGATGGTGAAGATACCAGATTGTCCGGACGCCCTGTCCTTCAAAATCTGCGGTCAATCTCCCCCTCATGTGCAAGCTGTGAGGAAAGGTGGGCGGGGCCGGGTCTGCTGAGCCCTATTCACATGTCGTTCCCTCATGCACTCTGCACCGGAGCTGAACCAGTGGGACCCCGCGGGCTGGTATTCTCTCGGCCATGAGCCATTCGTGCGAATTGGACACATTGCGGCACAGCTGGTGTTCAGACGAAAGCTTGTGGGGAGAAATAACCTTCTCCCCCTTCCGGGCCAACACCCAGTGAATGCTGGGCCTTGGAGGAAGTGAGCTTGCTTTCTTAGCTCGTGCAGGAAGCACACCTTGCTCACCCTCACTGTGTGCCACATCGCGGCATGCAGATGATAAATAAAGCGGCTTTCATTCGTTCAGTTGGTGCCACGGCTGCACTTTGATCTACAAGGCATCCGGGCCTCGAATGAGCCACATTTTTTGCCAAAACAGACCAGGCGTCAAAAGCCACCCCGCTCAGGGCCGGAAGGAAGCACCAGCTACACAGAAAAAACAAAACAACAAAAAATGAGCTTGCAGAAGTAGTGAATGTCTGAGCTGAACTTTAACGCTCTTGGGTGTTGAGCCAGAGTAGACCGACCTGTGTCTTCAGGTTAAATTCATTTCGCTGCAGCTTTGGTGAGCTGTCAAGGGCCAAATTTCGTGTGAGCTGTGACTTGTGTCTGAATATATTTGCCGTGGTTTAATCTGTTTTGCCTTTCCCTGTCAGCAGTACATGACAGCATGCAGAAATGTATCCAGGTCTGATCTTTCTACCTCCATGTTTTCCTACACTCCTGGGTCTCATAGCAGAATACACACGACTGTTACCCTGATTAGTTTGAAACGTTATGGCCTGATCATTACAGTGACTTAAAAATCGACTGACATTTGTATATATGAAATTAGCTGACATGAAACTGCAAATAAAGCTTGCAAACACTGCCTCCTTAATGAAAATGCTCTGAAGGTCTTGTGAAATTGTGAGTTTGGGGTTAACTGGATTGCATTTAGCTTTTTATATTTTGGTTATGCTGATGGTGTAATTAATGGTGTAAGTTTATGCATGTGTGGTTATGAATTATCAGATAATGTCAGTGAAAGCATTATTGACTGCAAAAAGGTGAATCTTCGCATTCTCAAAGTTGCCTATCAGACAGCTCAGAGGTATCCAGGCAACAGCTTGAACATGGTCAGCGTTGGTCATGTCTCTCCTCCTTGCGGCTTTAGGTTCGGTCGCCGTCGCCGCGGGTCTCCAGCCGGGACAGTGTGTCCTCAAAGTCAACGGCAACAACGTCAACAACGACAGCCACTTGGAGGTCCTAGAACACTTTACAGCACACCGCACTGGCCAAGAGCAAAGGCAGCTGGTGAGAAGAGCTCCTTCCATACACTGTTGATTCATCTCTGACTGTTCTCATGCTCGGTTGTCAGACTGACAATCTTTTATCAGCTAGCTGCTGTGTTGCTGTCGGTTTGCTGTATTTTCACTCTGCTTTTCTGAACGTGACCAGAAACCGTTTTAAAGTGGCTCAACACACTGCCTAATTAATGTAATCAAGCAGTCTTCCTGCATGAGCTCCTGTTAGCTGCTATTGCTCAACAAGTAGAGCATTGTGCTAACAATGCAAAAGTCATGGGTTCAAATCCTAAATTAAAAAAAAAAAAATTTTTAATTGTGTTCCTTAAGTTGCTTTGACTAAAAGCATCAGATAATTAGGTACCAATGTAAATAAGTCCTAAAATATAGAGCAGGTCTTTCCCATGCTTTTGGATCTCCCCTCTGCGTGACGACCCCTCTCTGTGCTGCCGACACAGGGGCTGGCCCAGTGGGTCTACCGGACGTTTGAGGATGCGGAAGAGGAAAGGGCGCGGAGACCCGGCATTTCGGAGGCGGGGGCTGTCAGCGAGGAAGCCGGTGAGTGGTCGAGTATGTTCCTGCGGTGTGCAGGCAGGATGCACCCGAGGCCTCATTGGCAAATGGAGAGAAAGGAGCCTTTTCTATTATTTACTGCGGCTTCCCACAATGCAGCTCTCCCGGGTTCCTGTGCGCATATGTAAATAAACATGTCAGAAGGACATGCTTTCCTATTTATTTTCCTGTTTCCTCTTTCCTATGATTTCTTGGGGGGGTGGGGAGGGGGGGCGGGTTGCGAGCTGGTGAAGCAGCCTGTCATGGAACAGCGTGTCCCCCGACGAAACCCGATCATCCGGAAAGGGCCAGCTGGGGGTGAAATCTCATCGTAAACCAGGCAGTATTCCACAATGTAGGCTGCACTTAAGTCGCTTCCGTTATTTAACGAGGTTCGTTTTCTCGAATCATGTCAGTGACTTGCTGACAGGGTATGAGGTAAAACTTTTTTTGTTTTTTAAACACACATCTAATGATGGTCCTGCACTGAGTTCATTATGGCAGTGGGGTCATGACCCCCCCCCCCCAACACCCCCTTACAGCCAGGCTGTTTGCTTCTGTCACTTTCCTGCCCCGGGAGGCAGGAAGGGGGGGGGTGGGGAGGGGACCTGCAGGACATCCCCTGTCTCATGTTACAGCCAAGGCTAATCATAGGTCACCTTTTAAGGGCCGGGCTGCTCTGGGCAGTGACCCCACACCCCTGCTGGTGGATGACAGACTCCATGTTCCCAGGCTGTGCACATCTAATCCTTGGGGCGTGGAGTTATTTCAATTTTCCTGGGGTTTGCAGTTCATGCAAATGCATTTATTATTACATTTATATGGAAACGTGCACTTCTTATGGAGTACAGGGTCAGACTGAGCCTGGGGCCTATCTGCCTACACCCCGCCTGGATCTTTGTGGGGACCTGAAAAACGGTCCCTTCAATGTCAGAAAAACAGGTTCATATGTCAGTGATATATAAGCATAATCTACACACACGCACACCCAGGCCCGCGATTTCTGCATGTTTGACTTTCTAGTGATTTATTTAAGGCTGGGGAGATGATCTTATTGCTGGCTTGAGTTGAGAGAGCAGTTCTGCTGGCATTGTTTGCTTGAAAAACTGAGCGCCATTGCATTGCTATAACACAGGAACGTGCATCTCTCCCTCTCTCCCTCAGTCACGCTCGCTCTCTCTCTCGGGATATTATTTCTTGCTGTATCATCGTGTACCAAAGATTCCCACTTTTAATTACTTCACTATAATGATGTAAGGAAACCTGTTCATGTTGAACAGGCTGCCAGATATTCATTGAAAACTGGAAAAATATGTCCGACCCTGCTTCAGATGATTAATGAAGCCCCCCCCTCCCAAAGTCAATACACTGGTCATTTCAGTCCTAATTGCCCTCTGCTTTGCTTTGTTTTGGACTAGCTAAGAGCTTTGGGAAACTGACCCTCTCAGAAGAGGGGCCGCTGGTCAGCCTGACGGTGGACAACGTGCACCTGGAGCACGGCGTACTCTACGAGTATGTCAGCACGGCAGGCGTGAAGAGCTACGTGCTGGAGAAGATGGTGGAGCCCAAGGGCTGCTTCAGCCTCACGGCCAAGGTGGGCCAGGCACCGTTTGGGTGGATGAGAGCGCTCCCAGTGCCGCGGTGCCACTTTACAACCCTTTGCAGATGGTTCCCACCCTCAGGAAATTATCTTTATGTGCATAAATATAGTAAATAGTCACTTTGACAAAGAGGTGATGTTTTAGACAAACACATCTGCTAAATAAATGTCAAAGTGAAAATGTGAAAAGCGAGTAGCGTTCAGACCCACACGCCCAATTTGCTGTTCCTCTGACCGGGGATCTCTGTGGCCGGCAGATCCTGGGGGCCTTTGCCGAGGAAGACAGCCTGTTCGTGAGAAACTGCCGGCAGCTGATAGCACAGAGCAGGACCATGGTGACGATGCCGCAGTACGAGTTCCGCAACATCTGCGACGCCAAGCTGGAGAGCATCTGCAGACACATGCAGTACTACCAGCAGGTATGCATCCGGCGCGCTTGCCCTGCGGGGGTCAGGCATTTCTTAAGCGTTAAATAGTTGATATAATTCAGATCCGTTTTATACAGAACTGTACTGTTAAGTACAATTCAAACTTAGGAGCTAGTAGACAGAGAACCTTCATTGTCCCAAATGGTCCTTTTCATATTGACCCCCCACCCCCCAAGTTTGAATCAGAAATGCAGCTGTTTAACTGGATTTCCTTTATTCCTCCTTTTCAGTGCTTTCACACTGCTTATTTATTGTGATGCTGTGGTTATGAACCAGCGATTACACAGAAAGGCGCTGAACTACATATTTTTAATGATGCCCAAGTGCACATTATAATAATAATAGTCAGTCTGTCTGATGTCACTTGTGAGCTTTACTGCAGGATGACGCCTATTCTGATTTCTTTATTTCTGCTTATAGAGGCTATAACTTTTATTTTTAAAATAGCGTGCTGCACTTTCTCTGTCCTGTCTAGCGCCGTCAGCAACTGTTTGTCCATGGTGTCGTCACTGTGTATATGAGCTAACAATTGCAGGAAAACAAAATGTAATTAAGTAAATATTTTTCATGGTGAGAATAACATAGCGAAAGTGCACGTTGTATTAATAATGGGCAAACCACCAAAGTTCTGAACAGTGATGTCATTTGTCAGCAAAATGCTTTGTATCTGTTGTTGCCATGGCTGCTATGCTGATTTATTTCTGCTTTTAGAGGCTGTAATTTGTTTTAGTTCTACTTTTTAATATATATATATATATTTTTTTTTTTTTTTTCTCAACCCCATCTCTGACGTTGTCGGCAAAGTTGTATACCATCCAGCTGCTACCACAAGTCATGTGTCCTGTGCTGCCTCGCTTGCTTATCCGTTATTTTGTCTAAAGAGCTGCCGGTTTGTCCGGTTTGTTCTGGTGAGCAGCACGGCTATCGTGGTACTGTGTGCGAGGTGTGTTTATAGTACTGTGTGCGAGGTGTGTTTATAGTACTGTGTGCGAGCTGTGTTTATAGTACTCTGTGTGCGAGCTGTGTTTATAGTACTCTGTGTGCGAGCTGTGTTTATAGTACTCTGTGTGCGAGC